GCCCTGCGCTCCAGGGCTGCGGTCCCGCCCCGCAAGCCCCCCCCGACCAGGCAGGTCGCAAAGGTGCCCGGGCTTGGCCCCGGTGGGATGCTGGGTGCAATCACTGCTGCTTGGGAGAAGAGCCTGCCCTTCAGTTCCCCGTGGCTGGACAACTTCTTCGTGCAGGGGGACTGGTTTTATCGCCAGGAAGGTATTTTAGGGCTGTGCTTGCACGTTCTGAGGAGCAGGTCCCTTCTTCCCGGCCTCCCCTTCCCGCGGAGCCCCACACCGAGAAGGTGGGGAGATGGCTGCTGCCTGGGGGGGACCAGATGCAGGACCCCGTGTTGCGGGCTGGGCAGGGCACGGCGTGCTGAAAGCACCGCTCCTCCTTTGCCTGGACCAGAACAGCAGGACAAGAGGGGACAGAGACGAAACCAAGCCGCGATGAGAAAAGGAGGAAGACCCAAGTGAAACCAATGCGCAACACAAGCCGTTTAACGTAAGGAGCGAAAAAGAGCAGGTCTCCTGACGGCACGGGAAGGAAACGGAGGAGTTTCTGGGTGTTCAGAACCTGTCCCAAACGCTGGCCGTGCTTGAAGAGGTTTGAGACCAAGCTGTATTGAGGCCATCAGCGTTTCCCCACCGCAAATGGGAAGGGACTGGGATTTGGGGAAGGGGCTGACTTGACGTGACTCAGTGTACTTCTCTGCTGCAACCACTCTGCTCCCTGCACATAAAATTCTCTGAAGCTACGACACAAGTGTAACTTTTTTCCCAGCAGCCTGCCGGTCCTCCCAAAGCCTTGAAATTAGGAAAAGAGGTGTAAATTTTGTCCTATTAGCACTAGGTAAGCACCGGCGCACCGTGGAAACAGAGATGGGGCAAGAAGACGGCTCTGTGTTGAAGCTGCTCATGTCTGTTTGTGTATAATTTGTAATGAGAGCTGGGAAGGGCAGTGCACTTCTCAGGCTGTTAGAAAGAAAAGAACCAGATGAAATCCAGTTGGGAAGCTTTTCCAGTTGGGAAGAAAAAACATCTGAAGTTCAGTGAAAAAAAGAACAAATCACTCCCAGACTCCTTTGACTTGCAAAGCTGCTTATTCACTGCATATTCTCAGGCCCTGGTGACAGAGATTGAATTTCCCCCCTCGCCGCCTCTTTCGCTCCAGACCAGCTTCTCACATCTTGAAGTGATCAGCAGCTAAGGGCGGGCACGTGTCGCTAGAGGCCCAGATTAAAGGGGAGAAGAAAAATGTGCTAAAGCTGCTGCGAGAAGACCGAGCATCTTCCGCGGTGCTTAAGAGCCAGCGCCTTCCGTACAGCTCCAGCAGCGTCGCTTTTCCTCCAGATTTTGAGTGCGTTCCCCATGCATCCAACGTCACTCAGGGAGTAGGAGGAGATCGGGGGACAGGCATTTGTCCCTCTGTCTTTCCAGGCTGGCTCTTGATCCGAGGCTGTCATTTGCGGTCAGCCTTTGCCGCACGAGTGCGCTTTCATCTGGCCACGTTCCCCGTTGCTGCTGGCTTTGCGATTTTTGGGAACAAAGCAATGGAAAGGCCGTTGGCCTTTGTGGGCTGCAGAGTGGAAACAGCCCCTCGCATCGGGATAATGTCGTATAATTGCCCCACTAACACGGGGTGAGGAAGCAGGAGCAATTTCTACAAAAGGAAGAAAAAAAATAAACAGTGAGAACACATGGGCACATAAAGAGGATTTAAGCAGCTCTCTAAAATCCCCTAATTTGGGTCATTTCTTTACAGTAGGTTGGCTTCTGCTCAGCGCTGGTGTAAACTAGTCTCCAGCTCGGTAAGGTTTGTTGCGGTTCATCTGGGCACAGCTTGACGTGAGGAAGAGGCCGGTGCATGGAGGGGGAGGAAGAAACAGGGAGAGAAGAAACCAGAGGAGAAACTCTCAGGCGAGGTTTGCGATAGGAAAGGTCTGGAAGCAGCCGGCAGGAGACAGTCTGACCACTCCGGCTGCTCTTGGGTTGGTGACGTGCAGCTTCCACCTCGCCCAGCATATTGTCGCCCTCGGTCTCCTTCCAACGGCACATGGAATATAGGCTCGGGAGCAGCCTCGATGGCCTTCCTCTGAGCAGCTTACCTATTTGCGTACCTCAGAGCCCAAACTCAACAGATGCTGGGGTCTGCGCACAAACGGCTTGTGTTTTTTGGTCCCAAAGTACACGCGTGGCCGGAGGCACAAGATCTCCCCGAACAGCATCCCCTGTTCTCGCTGCCCGGGGCTGGGCATCAGCTGGCGCGTGGCCCTAGAAATACCTCGCAGCCCTCAGAGGGCAGTGGGAGAGGAAAAAAAACGACTGATGTCAAAGGAAGGAGGACCGAAACAACCGGAGGACCTTTAATTGGAAACAAAGGCTGCCTGTCTCCTCTGTCTGAGCGCCAGGATCCGACCCTGAACCAGCTAAACCAGTCGTGCTCGCAGCTCTCCAGGTGCTGCAGTGCAGCACAGACCGCGCTGGAGGGAGCACCCACCTCTCCCCTTCCGAAGGAGGAGGGCAGAGCAGAGTGCAGGTAACTGCACAGGTACGGGCCGTTTCTGAGCCACACTTTCAGCCCGTGGCTCTCCAGCGCCAAGGTTATCGGACCCATCGCCCAGGCCATCCCTCCGAGGAGGGGCCACTGCCCTTTGAGTCCACGTTTTCCTGCTGTGTTTGTATACATATGCACGCAGAGTCCTGCTCGTGAGCGCAAAGACGCCTGGCTTTATCATCACGGGCTTCTCCTGCCTGCGTGAGAAGTTATAATCCCCTCCCGATAACATCAGCAGCTCCACAGGTATTCTCGGCTTTCTCTTAGCAGGATCCCGGCGAGTGCTTTAGGTGCTCTCAGAGGCACCCCGGAGCGTCGCGGCGCCAGGCTAGAGCCTGAGCCTGACCCTTTAGGTCTTTTGCAGTTTCACTTCAGACCATTGACACCATTTCTTCACAAGACTATTTGGAGACTTTGGAGGCAATGTAATACTTGTGAAATCGGACCACTTAGCAGAAATGGCACTCAGCAATCAGGCTTTGGGCTGTTATCTGCCGAGATTTTTTTTCCCCTTTGCTATTTCCGTATTTTTATTTTCATTTTGCTAAACCTCTTCTTTCCTTCATTTCTGCTTTCTCTTTGTGTCTATTTTTATTTCTATTTGCAGGGGCTCCTGTTCTTTTAAATACCAAACTCCTTTGGCAACAGGTTTTTAGCTCAAGGCAGATGGCCCGTTTGTGTTAAATGTTATACCCCGGTCACAGGATGCAGCTCGCAAACAATTTGCAGAGAAAACTGAACACTTTGTGGTGCTACTAAAATGCCTTTTTTTCTTGTGCTGCTTTCTTTGGGCACATGGTACATGCTACGTCTCTTACCAGGCACATTCTGTCCCTTGGCTCAGCTGTTTTTTCCTAGGACAGTTTCTCCTGGTCTGCAAATTATTTTGCAAAGGCACAAAGCCATCTCCAAAGGTTGGACGCTGGCTTGAACCTTCCTCGTTTTGAGCCCTGGGCATTCTTACTCGGCCACAAAATTGCTGTTTGTATTTCACAGTCTTATTTGTGTCAATACCCCCATTTGTCTCCATATGGAAATTTGGTCCCTGGCTGGATCTGTAGACCCAGGCTAGCATTTCTTCCGGTTGTCTTCCTGCCAGAAGCTGTGATACAATTTGAAAGCACTCTGCAGCTCGGTGAATTCTTGCTTCTCCTAAACCTGGCTTTCCCCAGCAGGCTTCTTCTCGTTTCTGAGAAAACAATAGTGCTTATTGTCATGACTTGAACCAAGGATTCTGCAAACCACACGCTGGAACCACGGTTTCAAATATGCTTTCAATTCTTCACCAGCTTCTCCCTCCTCCTTTGATTTCTCATGTGAAACTACTGCCTTGAAAAAAAATTGTCCTCATCAGAATGCACTACCTTTCCAGTTCCCGTCAGGGTACTTCATACAGGTTTTGTTCTGTTATTATTGCCTGTCAGACAAACACAGGCTCCTTGTGTGCTTCACACCACAGGTGCTAATAAAAAAAAAATAAATAAAAAGCCTTTTCTGGTATGCTACTTGGCACAAATGGAGAAAGTACGCCGTTGCAGGAATGGTGCTATGCTGAAAGCTAGTAACTGGCTGTGATCTGCAGCCAGCAACACCCTCTTGTTTAGGTGAGCAATCATGAAGGTGAGAGGTAAAGAAAAGAGCTCATTTTGCAATGTATGAATGGTTGAAAAGACCGCAGGATAAGCTTGCTTACTGCCAACGCATCCGCGTGGTACAGATGCCTGCGTGTGCTACAGCGCCTGCAAGGTGGGCAGATTAACAGCACGGTGCTGATCTCATCAGTGAAACTTGTTCTTAAAAGAATAAAAATAATCTGACTGTCCCCCCAGGTTTTGGCAACTGAGTACATCCCAGACCACTAATTCTGCACGTGTTGCTGTGACACCACAACCAAGGCAGAACAGCAGGTGCTGGAACCCAAATGGCCCGGTAACACATGGGTGACATTTGATTAGACAGAAATGCACATCAAGGCGTCATTCCTTTGGCAAAATCTAGCGGTTCTCATCATAAAAGCCAGGCTAACTGCCTGACACTTAGTGCTGGTAACCAGAGATGAGCTGCGAAGGTTTTGGCACCCTCAGCCCCAGCCTGTACAAGTGTGGCAGGCTGTCCCCGCACCCATTCAGGAGGGACGGTGGATGATACGACCTCTCTCTCTCAAGAAAGAAGAACAGCTGCCTCGGGCACTGACCACCGGCGCGTCAGGAGCTGGGTTTTTAGCTGGTGTAAGTCAGGGGAGCCCAGACTTCCAACGAGTTATGCTAATCCGTGTCACACGAGCACCTGAAATTTTGTGAAGAAGGTTGTACAACACGTCTGTTGACGACTGCAGTGACACGGGTCTGGGAAGCACTGCCAGTCCTATGAAATGGTCTAAGATATATTGTGTTTTCTCTTTCCTAAGCACCATGCCTGCCTTTGGAAAGCAACTGCCCATACATACTGCTCAAACCGTACAGGTAAATTAATTCCACGCTGCGTAAACTTTTGTGCCTTAAAGCAAAAAGACGTTGAAGCACCAGTGTAGAAGCTGTTAAAATATGTAACTGCAGAAATACAGGCCGGGTTGTAAGGGGGGATTTTGTCGCCGGCCTCAAGGGATTTACAGGACAGTCCTTCGGCCGTTTGGCTGGCCACAGTCAGAAGACAAGGCGCAGAGCAACAATTCGGGGTGGGATAGGTCCAAGTTTATGAGGAAACTTGCCTCGGGAGGTGGGAAAGGGACGGGCGTGCAGGGGGCTGAGGTAGCAGCGTTAGCAAAGTACCCTGCCGCCGGGGTGGGCCTCGGCCTG